GGAAGCGCATTTCGGAACGGAATGAATGCTTTTATGATTTCCGATTTTTGTAATATAACCATTACATCAAATTCCCACTGATTCTCAGAGTAATAAACCACCTCAATCGCTGTCGTTGCTTGTTTCCAACTTCTTCGCGAATCAATACTATAGACTACAACGAATGCATCCACTTCTTCGGAGATCCAAGTCGGGTCGGACTGAAATGAAAAGATTTGTTCAACCCTTCTGATGAATTTACTAATCGGGTCCTGATTTCCAAAAGGTTATCACGATTGACGACAGCGTGGTCTCAGCGTCGCATCACAGCCAGGGGCAGCATGGTCCGGCCAGGACAAATTAGTCCATTTGTTTTGATACGAGGCTCCCTTCTAGATTCTTTAAACACTTCTATATTCTTCAGTAAATGAACCTACGAGCTTCCTTGGAACTATAAAGCTCATTTCGAGCTCTAGGAAGAGCTTGTTGGGACGGCGTGATCCAAAATCGAATCACGGCGGGCGCATTGGTAAAACCGTGGAGGTCTCAAGCGGTTACGGGGCAGTGGTCAACCAACGCGTAAGAGTCCAGACAGAAAAGCACAAATTTTGTGTTTTCTAGGACTAAGCCTTTTGAAGGAAGGAAAGAAAGCAGAGATGCTGTAATAGTGTGCATGTGCGAGAGTGCCCAGAGAACACTACAAAACGCTGAATCACCAAGCCTTCCGGTTGACCGCTGCCCCTGGACGGTCTCAAGCGACAAAACATCAAAAATGCGCGCTGTCGTCAATCGGACTAATCGATTAATCGATTACGTCAAACGATGTTTGCGAGTGAAAAATTTTTTTTGCAGTGCTTACCATATCGTTCTCGAAGAATATCAAATCCAATTCCTGGCCACCAATGCAAATTGATACGGTATTTTCGTAGTCTTCTGAAATCGAATAGTCACATTCTCGATGGGTTTTCACGAACACGAAATTGTGGAAGCTCTTCTTACGAATTTCGTCGGCGAATGCATTCTTGTACTCCGAGGTAATCAGTTGACCAATGAGCGACGACTTTCCGGTGCCTGTGTCGCCAACTACGCTTATCTAGAAATAATATCATAAAAATCGCCGAGGGCACCATTTTCTTCAACTGTTCAATCCCTCTTATTCATTGGAGCTAAAAGGATGGTCGCACGGCTACGCATCAGCCTGCTGCACTTTATTCCAGCAAACAATCAATCATTTAGAGCCGTTCTAACGAACATTTTAGAATTTGATAAGGGCAACCCTTGTTCAGTAAGAGTAAGGGAAAATAGACCACTACGGTAGCTAGTATATTGATTTTCTCGGTCAAGTCAGTTCATTTCCGATTGTGGTACCTAGCAGACATAGGACTAGGCTCAAACCCCATGTGTAAGCATAAGCCTAAGTCCAAACCTAAACCTAACCTAAGGCTTCAATCATGGCGCCCAATCAACTCTGGTCACCTATCGGGAGAATTAAACGTTTCCCCGTCGCAAGCCTGACGCGTGCGCGGGAACCAATAACCCACACCCAAGTTCTTATATCGCAAGATATTTGGGAAACAACAAATGCCCGCATTGAAAGATCCATGAGAATTTTGAAATGCTTCAATTAAAAGCCCTCAACAGTTTCAAGTTATAGTTTTTTTCAGTTTATACAGCATCCTCGACAAAAGGACTCGATCAATTTTGAAAATTTTCTGGAATACAGTTCACCCTACGTAGCTTATGACAAATCCGAGCGCTATCGCAAGACAAGGGGGCATACTCTAGGACTAAGTCTAGGCGGGGTAGTAAGTCAGGGAAAATGAAAATCTCCCGCACATCCTGGAGACTTTCCTCACTAAAACTTAGTCCCGTTTCTAGGAGAAAAGAGGATATTTAGGTGGTTTTAAATGCCACTAAAATGCCCCCGTATCTTGCGATCGTCGAAGATCTAACTACAAATCCTTCAACCCTTACCTTGTAAGCCTTGTGACTGGTAGACGGATCTGTTAAAACAGCGTTGACGTTGGCAGTGGCAGCAATTTCTCGTCGTGAATCCTCACTCGACGACACGCTCTCACTACGAGACCCTCGAGCCGAATCCGATCCAGAGATCGGATACGGTGATGGGGATTTGTCATCTGAACCTAAATCTTGTTTCAGTAACAGTCAGTGCACAGTGGAACTGGAAAAGCTCACTTTTAAGGCTGGCTTCGTTTCGTTTTCGTCTGAAAGAGTCTCCACGAGAAACAACAGCTCCTTTCTCGTCGATTCTGAATTGACGCACCCTGAAATAAAACTTGTTATGCTTAACTAGAGCATTCAGGCACAATTATATTACAATATAATAACTAAATATTTAGGCAATTTTACAGAAGTTGCCGCCAAGTTTACGGTGCCATTTAACAACGCTGAAAGGCTAGCGGCTGTTCAACGTGCGTCACTTTTACTGATTCAGTCGACATCGCTTCAGAGCCAAGGGTATTCAGTCATACTGCGTCAGGGCTACGGTTGTCTCAACTTTGTGCGGAAGGCTTAAGCCTAAGCTTAACGGAAAGTTAGGACGCTGAAGGAATAAGGGAGTGGGATTGGTGGAGATATTCTGAGGTTTTGGCTAAGGTGGGAGCAACTCCAAGGACAATGGAGATGACTGGGTTCACCTCCTCTCCGTAATCCCACAGTCTTAGAGGTTTAGTCTACTCAGTAACTGCGACGGTTACCCCTTCACCGTGACCCCGGTACAACGTGTGACAGACCTCCGCTTCCGAAACGTGTTCCACTCTGAATTGGTGTCGGGTCGTAATAAGAGAAGCTTTTTGAAGTTTAAAGGAGGATTTCACGATAAGAACGAAGGTCGAAGAAGGGGAAAATTGCCTAGTTGGGAGACAGGCGGACCTCCTGAGGGTGCTGAGACGCGCAATTGGCAGCGAAAGATTTGACCTCGGCGATCTAGCATGGCTCACTCTTGGCGCGGTTGGCGGGGTACGCCCACCGACTATCTAATCACTCGCCGCAGGTCTATACGTGGCGAGTGATTAGATAGCAGAGAGAGCGTAGCGTTGAAGAGGGCACAGCGATGAGAGTCGCATCAATGCGGAAATCAACGGGCAAGGAAGGGGTCCCATTTCTCGGGTTCTGGGCCGTTTCTCATGGTTTTTCCTTCTTTCGTGTACCACTCACCATCCTAACTTAATTTGAAATGGGTTGCTCATCGTAAAGGTTGCCTTTAAAAAATCGCGCTAGGAGAAAGATGCCATGAAGAATGAAGAATTGCACTATAGGCTACATTTCGCGCAGGCTAGTGTATTTCTTAGGCTTACAAATCGCTAGAAAGACGGCGATACTCACCACTTCATTACCAATGACGAGGGTGGTTAATATGTAGCAAGTCACGCTACTAATCGCATGCACAATCAGGTGGTCGAAACTTGTTTGAGCCAATCAATCGGATCGGCTCTTTGGTTCATGCTTCTGTGTTAGTTTCATAATTGTGAAAGCTAAGGCACTGTACTGCACAGTGGACCTAAACTGGACTAAACCCGCATCTCAGTGTTTAACTCAATAAAGGCAAAATCAGGATTAAATTGATGGGGTGATTCCACTCAAATGTGAAAGTAGGGATGGGAGGTGGACCGCCAGTGGAGAAAAAAAGGAAAGAAAATCCTGAAATACACAGGAAATACGAGCATTTTGCTCCATGCTGTGGAGAAGTTCAAAAGACAGGCAGGGAGATGAGAGATAATGTGAGCGCGGAGAGTGGTAGAGAAGTCCGAGAAGAGAGAGCATAGCAGATCAACGTGGCGACGCAGACAAGATATCGAACGGTGGGCGGACCATGTTAAGTTTGGTGGAGTCTGTTAGAAGTCCATGGCGCCTAGGGTCCTAGTGACGCGTTTCGATGTAGAAAGGTGGCTACCTTTGCACTTGCGTACCCAGCACTTCTAGCCATGGTAAGGGCTTCTTAGGTGGGTCTGAGCCCGAACTTTGCCTTAAATCCCATTCAAACCCTACTCACTATTGAAAGCTCGATCCCTACCCTTGCACTTACACCTCTCGTAGTATTTTTTAGCAAGTGTGTAAGGAACAATGAACGTATGATAATGTACAGTTGGCAGTTGTTCAGCTCATGTGCCTCATCTGTCTAACAAGTGATTCAAGATCACTCTAAAAATATTGCGAAACAATTTTCAGGATTTTTGATCAAAAACAAAGGTCCTAGCAAAGTTGTGATTGTCAGTATAGTCTCATGACTTTCAAAAAGTTTGTTGCCGTAAATTCCACGGGAGCATACTGGACACATTGATCTTGTCGCCCTTAGTTTCTCAAAATAGCATCAACGGCTTCTAGTCTTCGTGGTGGCGCTCCTTAGGAGATATCATAGATCGTTCACATGAGCTTTTGGAACACAAAGGGACGAAACATTTGGCGCTCATCAATCCGTTTTCGAACTGGCACAAATTCCACTTCTACATACATAGAAGCGTTATGACACTGAAATACAACTGAGCCTATACAGAGGCCTGTGGGAAAA